TCATATTTAATTGAAAGTTATTAAATGATGTAATAGTTGATAAAAATTACACTGATATTGTTATATATATATATATATATATATATATAAAGAGAGATTTAAGTGTGTATTTAAATTAGATTCTGAAATCATGATTTTACAATTTTTACTCGATTAACTTGATAAAAAAGTGAGTTTATAAATAGTAATTTATATTTTTTTTTATTTTTAACTTGAAACGAAAACTTCATTGCAAAAAAAATCACAATAAATTATTTTTAAATATATACTTGTTAATAAAAGACATATGATCCACATACAATAATTTGTACAATAATAATTTTGTATTTTTTTACCTATCACATAATATATTACATTTTAAGTTTCTCTTTTTTTCTCTCATTCTCTTTCTAAGTGTTTTAGAAATATTATTTCTCTTCATAAAATAATCCCTCCTAAAATGTACATAAATTGATTCACGCTACTTAAAAGAAATTAATTAACATCATTTAATTGTATTAATTTAATTAAAAAAATTTAAAAAAAATTCTTAAATTACTCTTCATTGAAACCTAATATTAAAGATGAAAAAGAATTAATTCAAATTAAAATTTCAATTAAATGAAGATATTTTGGAGACAATATCATTAAATGAAGTAAAATTAGTTGAAATTTATTTGTATTCAAAACCAACATATATGATTTTTTTTCTAACAGTTGAAATAGGATAAAATATTAAATATTACTTTCTTCGTTTCATAATGATTGTAATTTTAACTTTTGGAAAATGACACAAAATGAATGATTTTCTTACTTTTTTTAATATAGTATTAATTAAATTTTCCCTAACTTGTCCTCTCATAAAATTATTCGGTCACCACTCACCACTTAAAAGTGATGTATTTATTAATAGATTGAATTATTTTGATAAAATTATATCAAAAGTTATGTATTTATTCTAATTCTTAATATGTATAAAAATCTTAAATTGTAGTCATTATTGGACAAATGAAGTATTTGTGACATTAAAATTATATTATGAAATTACAATAATATTTTGAGTAAATAATCTATGTATTTATGATGAAAATTTATTTTACATTGTAATTCAATGAAAAAAAATTGTCATATATAATAATTTTATTAACTTTTACATTTTTTAAAATTATACACATTATGATATGTAATTGGTTGATAAGATAAAATAATTTCACTATTAATTGTTAGTGTATATAACCATTAAACTCTATTATTTTTCCCAGTATATGGCGCTAAATTTGTCCAAGCACAAATTTATTACCCAAAACTTATTTTTATAGAATGATTTAGAGAAAAAAAAAAAGTTAGAGAGAAGACAATTTTTTTAAAATTTGAATAAAAAATAAAAATGTCTTTGAATAACAATATTTTTATTTCATTTTTATCTTTATTCTTATTAAACTAATATTTTTATATAATTAAAATCAGTATTTTAGCATGTTTAATGTATTGGTTAGATATTTATTATATATAACTAAAAATTATAATAAATTATATATAATAAATATTATATCTGAATATATAAATCATTAAAAATTTGTATAAATAGATCTTATTTTAAAAGTATAAAAATTTAATTCATAAATAATTATTATAAATAAAATTTGAATATGATAAGAAGTTGAACAAATTTCTAATAATCATCTCTTCAAAAAAAAAAAGTTTCAATAAACGTTTTTGCGTATGATAAAAATTTGTATTTAATATACAAGAGTTAATTTATAATGACTAAATTATACTTTTAGTCATTTATCTTATTTTTAAGATTCACTATGGTCCTTTATATTTTAAGATGTTCATTTAGTTTTATGTCCTAAATTTGGATTAATTTGACCTTCTTTGTAATAATCCAACATATCATTACACATATTACTAAAAATCGACGATAAAAATGAAAGTTAAATATGCATAAAGTAAAATGTATGGAATATACACATCTTATATAAATCTAGTACGTAAACTATATATATATTAACGACTAAACTACAAAAGAATATCTTCTAGATGACCAGCCAAGAACCCCAAAATATGACTTTACCAGAAAAATCATACCAAACAAGTCACATCTCGTGTGACTCGTCACCTTCACTCTAGTTGACCACCTAACATTGTCCTACTTGCATACCAAGTATGGTCATCATAGTCCTAACCACAAGAAAAAGAACAGTAAACTTATGGAAGAGACATCATACAACAATATAACAAAGGCAACAAAACATATATCAACAACAACACAACTCACAACTTAACAACTTGCTCAACATTTATCAATTTCATTATAATCAACATCTCAACATAAACATATTAACAATTAATGCGTCGTTACACATATCACTAAGGAGATCTCCTACAATAAATGTGAGTAGTTTAAGTGACTCAATCCTACCGAACCATGGTGTTAGACCTATCTCAACCAAGTCAAATATAATACAACATTAAGCCTTAAAGAGAGTCAAGAAAAGACAACTTAGTTTAATTTCTCAAATTTTGGCACTTAAACTAAGAAAAATATGGTACTATGTTAAGGTAGGACAATTTGGGTACAAATCTACCACGACATTAGCTTGCAACACTAAGTCACTTATGGGATTAGTCTATCGACTACCCTCCAAATACCACAACCCTCCAATAAAGTTAAAGACGAAATCTTAAATTCGTACTTTACTTGATTAGTCATTCAACTATGATATGGTTCAACTACCTCCATATCAATTCACATAAACCTTAGAGGGAAGATCAATTTTAAAGCAACAACACAATTCACCTCTAACATCTATGTATCTCAACTAAGACATGTATATCAACCACACGTCTACAACTTTACAACTTTAGCAACTATATAGCATACAACTTACAACATTACATCATTAATCCACCTATCATCTTACAACATAGGTATTCATCATATATCAAAACACACACACACACACACCTTAATCATCAATATTCAATTATAAATTAACCAACATACAACATGTAGTCGCACTCAGTGTTACTCAAACGATGCACAATGCTATTGAGGCAATGAACTCCTTGTCTCGCCCATGCCTGGTGCCACATCACTTGCACCTAAGCAACAAAAAGTTAAGAGTAAGCTTCCCTTACCTCCTAAGAGGAAAAATCTACCAAGAGGAGAAAGGGGAAGGAGAAGCTTCGCACACTTTGTATAATTTTTCTTGAGTTCTAATCCACAATATTGCCATTCCAGTTAGCTAAAGAAAGATAGAAAGAGGGGAAGGAAATCTCAGCCATGAAGAAAGAAAAGAGGAAAAGAAAGAGACCCCTCACACTAATTCTCTACTAAACATGAGTGTCACACTTTTGAAACAATGATTATTCTCAGTCTTGAAACATGATTTTGAATACTTTTTGGCTAACTAAAAACTTAAAACTTATCTTATTAAATTTACTTATATGAAAACAATTAAATGCAACTAATATTCAAACTAATTTTTTTTAAATAAAGTAAAAATCGCATAAACATAAGTTCAAAAAACAATTGAGAAATTCAAAAAATATAATTTTATATTATTTTTAATTGCTCATGGAGTGTATTTTTCACGTGATTTTCTCTTATTATAGTTCTATTGTATTTTAACATTAATTGAATTTTATAATTTTTATATATGTGAATATAATGTTATAAGTTTCACGTCTTGAATTAATAAAATTATTATTCAAAATCGTGCCACAAAATTGAAAATAATTATATTTTTGAAAGGACCAAATTGATCAAAATATAAAATATAGATGACCAAAATAAATATTTTAATAAATAATGAACAAAAATGAATTTAACAAATAAGATAAAAGATTAAAAGGATGAATTTAGTCATTTAGAATAAATAAATAATTTTAAATAAATTATATTCTAAATTTATAATCAAGAATTTAAATTTTGATATCAAAATATTTTATAACTATTGATATATTATTTGAAAAAATATTGAAATCAATTTAGAGATAAAGATAAAAGAAGATTTTTTTAATTCCGCCACAAATATCCTTTAACTCACTAAATCAATTTGAAAGAGATAAATAAAATAAAATTAAACATATATAAAGATAAGAAAATAAAAATTAAAAAAGATAAACAATTAAAAAGATTTAATATAAAAATAAAGACGAAATAATGACAATTTAAGATGTTGAAAAAGGAGATAAATATCTTCACAAAAAGAAGATAAATATTTCGGTGAATTGTAAGAAAAATTTATGATTTAAGAGGGTGTATTAAATGAAAGCAAAAAAACATTAAAGATTTAGGGGGGATGTATTAAATAGAGAAGACAAAACATTAGTAAAATTTAAGAGTAAGTGGTATTAAAGAGAGAAGATTCAAAAGACTATATCTATGGAGGGTATTTATTTAACTTTCGTCACTGTAATTCAAAGATAGGAGGAGCATGATTCATATCTCCGGCATGCATCAAGGAAGCTAGTTTGAAAGGTGAAGTTATTTATGTACGTATACCAAGATAAAATAAATATTCGTACGCGTAATCGTACTCCATATAAATTTATCTTTACCCCTCTCTACACTTTCCCCCCTTTCCCCTCACTTCCGTATCATAGTCAGGTGCGCTTTTTTGTTCCTCGGTCTTTGAGTTCCCACTCACAACACTCTCTCTCTCTCTCGTCTTTTCAATCATTCCTTCAATTCAATTTTCATCGATCGCATTCGCAGCACCCTTCTCTTCCCATAGAACCCATTGGACCAGCATTCGTCGCTTGATCCGCCGGAATGGACGCCCGAGACCCGCCACGGCCG